GGGGCAGTCAAAAACCCCCCACTAGCTAGCTTGAAGTCATGGGGCAGTCTATTACCTACCACTAGCTAGCTTGAAGTCATGGGGCAGTCTATTACCTACCACTAGCTAGCTTGAAGCCATGGGGCAGTCTATAAACCACCACTAGCTAGGTTAATATTCTGTTTATTTATAAGGGTGTAATCAAAACAAAATGTATTTGTGTTATGAGTATAATCATGTGCTACCACAATGAAATTTGAGCCAGACACAGCATGTAAGGAAATGCAGACCAAAATAAAGAAAGGCGTACTAGTTTTGCTGTGTGCTCATTCCTGATTAAATGAGGGTTCGATTCAGTTATTAACAAAAACAACACTAAAACAAACTAAAATTTACGAATAAAACTTTGTGCCTTCCAGGAACTCAAGTGTTTATAATTGGAGGTATGAGTAGCAAAGAAAACTCGTCACTGGCTGAGGTTCAAGTTTATGACAGGAAGCGGGATATTCTACAGAAATGTGCTTTCTTACCTGTGTCTTTGACTGGAACAGCTGCAGTTGGAATACCAGTAAACCGGAGTCCTGCTAGTGATATCACCACAAGTAAAACAACTAGAAGTGGCTCTAGAAAAACACAGAAAACATTGGTATGGTTTACTCTGTTAATTAGAATTGCTTAGTAATTAATAGGTTGAATCACAACTAGGTGTGATGGGTTGATATCAGAAAATCTATATTTTTAGAATTAAACTTAATTTCAAAGAGATAGTTACCTTTGAAAATTTCCTTGTTGAGTTTGAGCTCGTGCTGTCAACAAAATATGTGAATATTCTTAACAATATATGTCACTTACCCTACTACAGACTTTTAGATAATAGTTCTCTAATCCATGGAAAGGCCACTTAAATAAAAATTCGCAATTCAGAGAGGACAAACACACCCAAAACTTGTGAAATTACAAAGCCCAATAACATTTTTAAGAGAGTGGAATTTTTTACATAGTAACCCGAATTTATCACTATTAATTCTTTGCCGTAAAAAATAATCAATAAAAGTCTAGAAACAGGTGGTGATTAAAACAAAAATATACCTTTAAAGAATCTGGTGTCACTGTGTTAATATTCTTTTTCAATAATGTAAGGCCTGCCCTTGCCTTCTCCTACAGCAGCATGGCCCTGAAGGCATAAATCTGAAGAAAAAAAAGATGAATATTATACACAAATTTATGAAAACATACCAGTAATAATTCCTCTATAAGAAGATATCATCTTCTTCATCTTTTGTTTGAGTGTGTTTCACAATTATGGTTTCACTTGAATTGTTATAATTAAGGAAAATTTTCAGTTATGAAATGTTACATGTCATCCGTAAAAGTAATTCTGTTATTTTCGTCATTTCCGATAGAACAAAAAAATATTGAAACATGTCTGACTCTAAACTTTATCTATTAACATGGCCTTTATAGAAAGACAAACAACAAAGTGATATACACGCCCGGAATAAGGCTGCAAGAACGATTCAACTAAATTACCGTAAATATCATGCCAGCAAACAAAGACGAAGTGGAATCCCACGTGATGCTTTAAGAAAGGTAACAATATCTTATTTATTCAGTTTGAAGAGTTATTAGTTACTAGATAATACTTTTAGGGGAAAAAGTCTAATAAACTAACTGTTATAAAGTCGTAGTTTTCCCCTTTCTTATATGCAGGGCCCTGGGACAATACAATTAAAATTGGCCATTCCAAAAGTTTTAACGTATTGTTAAGTATCTGCTTGTTTGTTAATTTCTGGTAGAAATTCATTCCGAGGAACTTCAGTTTAAACTTTCAGTTTAAAATTTCTTGATACAAACTTTTAGCACAGTAATTCCATAGTCAGTACGTTTCTCGTCACTTTAAACTTAACAACTTTTATAATACACACTATAAATCACAGCAATTCACTATCTTGATAACTTTGCTCTCTACGAGTGCAAAACACACACTTTACGGCTCATTAGCACGAAACTAACTGAATTATAAATTACACAAAATTTACCATAACTACTGTTCACTTCACCCGCTGGATTTTCTCTGCCATGTTTATATACTAATAAAGAGGCATGTCCAACATTCGCGGAGTTCCCTGATTATTCGAGAAAATTACCAAGCATGGTCCCAGCGTCACGTGACTTTTGCTGTTGTAACACTGCCCCTTCCTTAGAATTGTTCGTCCCAAATAATAGCCACTTACATTAAACCAATAATAACTGAATTAAATGTACAGAATTTACAAACACAAAATTAAAATACAACAAAGTCTCTTAATTTTACAGGACGTTTCTTCTTCCATAGTCGTCTCCGTCTTATTGGCTTCTGCTTCACGGGGTGGTTCATCTGCTCTATCAGGAGATGTCCTATTATCGGTAACAGTCACATCAGTGGTAGTAACTTCATCAAGGGATTTACTGTTTCCCTTCTCAAAACCGAGCAGAGTTTGTTCTTTGACAGTAGCCTTTCCAGGTGACACGTCTTCAGTGGCATCTTTTGTTCTATTGTTCACTTCATTCCGACTGAAATGTCCTGGACCGGGATAATGGAAAAGCCTGTTGGCATGCACCACCTTCGACTTACCTCCCAGACCACATTTTATCCGGAAAGTCACGTCTGAGAGACGATCCACTATGTCATATGGGCCTTCCCATGGAGAAGACAACTTAGGAGACTTCCCTTTGGTCTTCCTGGGATTATACAACCACACCTTGTTTTCTGGTACAAAGTTGACTTCAGTAGATTTCTTATCATAACATAGTTTCATGGAATCAGCAGACGTTTTCAAGTTTGAACACACTTGATGGTGAATATTATCCATCCTTTCAGATAACACTTTCACGAACTCTGACACATTTTCAGACAACTCTTCATAAGGTGGGTGTCCTGTTATCAGGTCCACTTGCAACCGAAGTTCCTGACCAAACAAAAGCTTTGCTAGAGTGTATCCAGTGGCTTCATGCTCGGATGTTCTATAGGCCATCAACAGTGGAAGGAGTAAGACATCCCAGTCATTTTGGCAGCTATT